GATGAACACCCAGCCCAAACCCCCTGATGATCTCTCCCAGCGGCTTCATATAGATATTAAAAAGCATGGGGGAGAGGACGGAACAATGAGGAAGAGTTGACAGTGCCCACAATGGGAAAAAAATGTTAAAGTGCAGAGTCATTAATTAAATCGGATAGGCTAGAGAGAAAACTCTGTGAATGGACAGCTGTATTCTTTCCCCCCTGGCAGTCTTAAGAGAAGCACTGTTATCTTCAGAATGCATATATCATGGCCTTGGATACTTCAAGCAGTTGCTCAAACTCCCTTTTTAAACTTTTCTAAATTGTTCCCCACCCAGTCAAGGTAAACTCTTATTTAAACCTTATTTTCACTTGACCAAACTAGATTCACTTACTGTTCAAGCCCACAGTAGTTGTGATTTTGGATAAACTCATTCCTTTGTAGTTCCTGTTAAATCTTGTTTTAGTCTGTTCAAGGAAGGTCTGGAAAAAAATGGAAGCAGGGGAGGGAGAAGGAAAACAGGTCGTTAAACTAAGTGCTTTCTGGGACACAGGAAAACTTTATTGTAAAACTGGAATTCCAAGATTTATAGCTCTGCAATCAATGAAATCTAGCTGCTGCTAGCCAACAAGGAAAAATTCTCTGACTAAATTAGCAATCTTACATAATCTCCACTGAAATAAGAATTTCCTTTTTATGGAATATTGTGGAGTTTAACATTTAAACCGGGAAAAGAGTGGCGGGGATCCATAACCGAGAACACGGGGACAAAATAAAGCATTAGTAAGACAGAGGTGTGCAGTCTCACAACCCAACCTAACTATCATTCTGCTGCTTCACTGAGCTAAGCCATGGTTTGTCTTACAGTTTGTCTGTAAACCACGAAAACAGATTCAAATGCCATGCTAAGCCAACCCATGACTGAGCTCAGCGCACCGCAGAACGACCAAGGAGTAAGGCAGCCACAACTTCCTCTCCCAGAGCTTGCACGAAGCCATTTCCACTTCAAACCAGGCCAGAGTTTGGCAGTCCTTAGACACCTTTTTTTTTACTCCAACACTGTATGAGCAGAAAGCAAGTTCATGCAATGGATCTTTCATTTTCCCCTGCACCCCCCCAAAAAAAAACCCTCTTCAGTGGGTTAGTGAAACCTACAAAACATCATGGGCCATGCTGGATGGGAATGCAGTGGGTGGATGGGGGACAATCACCCCCAAAATCAGGCATAACAGACTCAACCCAAGTTCAAGCAATTTCCCCCTGCCTTCCACTGCACAGTGTTCAGTAGATCTTTCTTGCCTTCTTGGAACACTGGATTCCTTTGCTACAGGGATTCTGAGCAAACTTTTACCCAGCAAAACCCAATATGATTGAGACCCTTAATTTTATATCTGCTTGCAACAAAAATATTATTATGGAAGAAAATTACTAGAAACTCAAACCAATGAAGAGCTGGGGCAGGAGGGGTTGGACAGCTGACCTAATGATGCTAATTGTGTGCTGTTTTCCTGAAGGATTTATCCTCCTAAAATTAGAATTCGGGATTAAGTTGTTTTACCTAGCACCTTGGAAATTACTACATGATACGTGAAACCAGACAAGGTAGTGAGGAAGAGGAGAGGGTTCTCTTTCCTCCCCCACCAAACAAGCACTGGAACACACCGTTTTACCAGCATTGTCCAGTCCGAGGATCAAGATGCAGTATTCATCCCTTCGGAACATATACTTGTAAAGCCCGGATAGCAGCGTATACATCCTGACCCTACAAGCAAAAACATCAAATATTAGATTGCTAGAAATGTGTCCTCCCCCTACAAGCACATTATGTTCCTGACCCATCTCAGGAGGACATGACTTGAGGCCCTATGCATGCCGCCCAAACAACTTAAGAACGACTTTTCTGCACCTTGGGGAAACATGTTCACTGATGTGAGCAGGGGCCAATCATTCAGACTGCAGTCAAGTCAGCTGCGACCTGCCTGCTGGAAGGAAGGCAACCAGTCCTGCAGGGAGCGCACCAACGTCACGTTTACAACTACCCGGCCATTTTAACCCTCAGCTACAGTAAGCCTCATCTGAGCACAACACCAACGTTCTTGTGGTGTAGGTAGGAGGGTGTTTCAAAACCACAGTGTCGGCTAGAAAATAAAAACACAATGAAAAAAGAACCAGCTGCAGGTGGTGCAGTTTCCCCATGAACATATATAGCCTATTTGAAAAAGATAACATCAGCCTTCTGAACCAAGGCAGATAAGCCTGTGGTCTCTTTCTTACATGTAACTATGTTTAGCATCTAGTGAAAAGAGTACATGCATTCCTAGATTTGCTTTGCAAGAATTTGTATTTAGTTACATACACAAAAGATGAAGAAGAGTTTGGACTTGATATCCCGCTTTATCACTACCCTAAGGAGTCTCAAAGCAGCTAACAATCTCCTTTCCCTTCCTCCCCCACAACAAACACTCTGTGAGGCGAGTGGGGCTGAGAGACTTCAGAAAAGTGTGACTGGCCCAAGGCTGCACCCAGCAGCTGCATGTGGAGGAGCGGGGAAGCAAACCCGGTTCACCAGATTACGAGTCCACTGCTCTTAACCACTACACCACAGAGAAAGCCATTAAATCATTCATTATTTTAGGTGTGAGATCATTTCATGAATACAAGTACATGACTGAGCAGTCACTGAAGTATCATGTTTTAATTACAGGTGCTGACTGCAAACCAGTGACCATGATCTTCGTTTTTTTGATGTTGATTTATTATAGACAATGCTAATTGGATTTTCTCCCTCTAGGTCCAAGGCATATTGAAGCTTCCCACCACTGGTCAGCTCCTGTAAGCTCAACCAGAACTTAACTTGATGCAGGACTCAGACCCAGTGTTTGTTTTCCAGCACCACAAGATGAACTGAATTCTGCATGACCATCTACCCTCACCTTTCCTCTTTATCATCCCTGCAATACATTTTAAGACTGTAAGCTCCTTGGGGCAGGACCTCTCTCTCTCATATCCACTTTTTATAACGGACGCTCTGTGATCTTTGGATGAATGGTGACAAATATATTAAATAAAAATCATGGCATTGTAACAAATATGTGAAGCAACCAAGTGGGGAATGGAGGAATTTACATTACACTTTTTACATACTTGTACTTGTGTGATATACATAAAGTTGTTGACCCAGTGTGCAGTGGTCATGGAAACGGCAAATTCCATGCTAGGAATAGGAAAAGAACTGAAAATAAGACTGCCAATATCATAATAATGTTATAAAAATTTATAGTGCAGACTTAATTGAAGCTTTGTCCCCCTAAGCTCAGAAAGGCTACTGTAAGGTTGGAAAAGAACCAGAAAAGGGCTGCCAAAATGATCAAGGGGATGGAGCAACTAACCTATGAAGAAAGGTTTCAGACTTTTCAGCTTAGAAAGGTGAGCAAGAGGCAACAGGATAGAAGTTTATAAAACTATGCATGGCATGGACACAGCAAACAGAGAAAAAAAAGGGGTTTTCTCCCTCTCTGGTGACACTCGAACTCACAGGCACCCAGGGAAGCAGAGTGAAGGAAGGTTCAGGACAGATTTTTAAAAGGACTTCACTAAAGTTAAACTTAGAGATGTATGGAAGTGAGAGCTGGACTATAAAGAAGGCTGATTGCCGAAGAACTGATGCTTCTGAATTCTGGTGCTGGAGGAGACTCTTGAGAGTCCCATGGACTGCAAGAAGATCAAACCTACCCATTCTGAAGGAAATCAGCCCTGAGTGCTCACTGGAAGGACAGATCCTGAAGCTGAGGCTCCAAGACTTTGGCCACTTTGGAGAAGAGAAGACTCCCTGGAAAAGACCCTGATGTTGGGAAAGATGGAGGGCACAAGGAGAAGGGGACAACAGAGGACAGGATGGTTGGATAGTGTTCTCAAAGCTACCAGCACGAGTTTGACCAAACTGTGGGAGGCAGTGGAAGACAGGAGTGCCTGGCGTGCTCTGGTCCATGGGGTCACGAAGAGTCGGACACGACTAAACGACAAAAAAGTTAAACTGTGGAACTCACTGCCACAGGGGGCAGGACTGGCTACCAAACTGGACGGCTTTTAAAGAGGATTAGATAAATCCATGAAGGAGGGGGTTGTTGAAGGCTGCTAGCCATGATGCTCTCTGCCTCCATGCTTCTGAGTACCAGTTGGTGGAAACCACAGGAGGGCGGCTCTTGGGCTCGGATCTTGCTTGCTGGTTCCCCATAATGGGCACCTGGGCGACCCATAGCTGTCAACCTTCCCTTTTTTTGCGGGAAATTCCCTTATTCCAGTGCCGTTTCCCGCTGCTATCCTGGATAGATATCCCGTAGGCTGTCCCCAGGACAGGCGAGGCTGCTGATCCCTTATTGTCGAGGCTGCTGATCCCTTATTTTCAAATCTGTAAGTTGACAGCTATGGGTCGACCACCGTGGGAACAGGAGGCTGGAACGAGAGACGGGCCACTGGCCTCATCCTGCAGAGCCCTTCTTACGTCGACAAGGAGGGGCCTCTGAGCATGTGCGAAGTGTTTCCCTCTTGAATGGACCCGAGCATGCGCAGAAGGCGCTTCCCCGCGCCCCCCTTTGAGGAACTCCAGGCAGCTCGGCTGGGGCGTGAGCCCCGGCACCTCTTTCTACCCGCGGCCGCCGAAGAGTAACGGTCGACGGGGCGGGGCAGGCTCACCTGCCCAGGTGAGTCGCTGGAAGGCCGCACGACTTACCTGAGCTACCTCAGCCAAGCCGCCTTCAACGGCTGCTGCTCGCCTTCCTCATACCACCCCTCCTCCTCCTGCTGCTGTGGTAAAGGCCGCCCCGCGCAGGGCACCCTGGGAAACGCAGTCCTCTCCCCCGCGCCGCGCGGCGGCTTCCGAGGTAGTCCGCCAGCCCAGCACTACAATACCCAGCGTGCATCGCGCGCGAAGACGCGCATAGACGCACAAGCGCCGCCTCTTAGGCCGACGTGCGCGCCGGGCACCGGAGAGAGACCGGAAATGGAGAGGCTGGCGGACCCAAGATGGCGGCGCTCGCCTCTCGCGCGCCTTCCGGCTTCCGGGCATAGAGTTGGGTCTTCCCTCGTCTGTGTGGATGCCGGAGCCTGGAGTCGCGGGGGCTGAGAGGGAGCCTGGCCGAGCCAGGGAGGCGGAATCTGCGCGAGGCCTACCGCCGTCGAGGCGGGACGTAGCGGGGCGGGACGTCCAAAGCGTTGTGCCTTTCGTCATTCCAGCCCCCCTTGCGATCAGCCCTGCGAGGTAGGCCACCGGGGCGGGGGGGGTTGCCGGGTCTCTCGGGGAGGTTTTGGCACAGCCTGACCCCTTCCTTTGGTAGTCCTCACAGAACTCTAGCCCAATGGGTGCCATTAATATGAATTGATTTTTTTTTAACCAATGCAAAATTATAACAAAAATTACAAACATTGAATCCAAAATAATACCATACAAACAAGGGAAAAAAGAAAAGAAAACAGAACACGAAAAAAGAAAACAAAAAAAGAACAAAACACACATCTACAAATAAAACCATATCATCATTCTAATCTAGTCATTACATACATATACACATATTTCTTGGGCTCTCTTTTAATAGACTTACTTCCTTTGTTCTAAGACCTCAAAGTTTTTGCTCTTACTAAATTGTTGTGTCTAATGTAGATTACTTCCATCATTGTACTTTTTTACAGCATTTTTCTTTTTCTTTAACCCCGTAAAGCATTTTTCTTTAACCCTGTAAAGCAAAATAATAATAATAATAATTTGATTTGATTTTGAATTGATTTTAAAATGAATTGATTTTAGAATGCTGTGTTACCTTGATTGCTAGCCGCTCTGAGCCCAGCTTCGGCTGGGGAGGGCAGGATATAAATAAATTATTATTATTACTATTATTATTATTATTATTGGCAGGGGCAGGGCCTGGTGAGGGAAGAGAGCGGCTGTCGCAGGGCCAGCTCAGGGATGGAGCCTCCATCTCCAAAAGTTTTCAGTCTAGGAAGACAAACATACACAACATAATCACTTCAGGGGAGGGTTTAGATCCTGCTCTCCAGGACGACACCCCAAAGCAAAGAAAAATGAATAAAGCAAAGCAACCAATTTTAAAGAATTTGCCACACTTTAAAGATTAAAGTGTGTATGTGTGTGTGTGTGTAGACCGGAAGGCTTAGGTCCAGTCATGGCCGACCATAGATAATTTATTACAGTCGAAGACCAGCTTATAAAACACACTTGGGGGTACAATCCCAGAAGGAAAACAAACATTTAAAACAATGTACAACAATAAATTTATAAATGCGATAAGCATTTAAAACTTTAAGATAAGCTACTGCAGAGAGATGACCCAGAATCACCCAAGGAACCAAGTTTGGGGATTTTCTTAACTAACTAGTTTGGGTTGGGGGATGGTCTGCGCCTACAGATCTGTACACAGAATCTGGTGACCACGGAATCTGGCGACCATCCGGGTCATCTTATGATCTTTGCCTAATAGGAAAAGGATGTGTGTATATGTATGTATTTTTCCCCTGTTTGAAAAGTCCCGTCCCCCCCCCAAAAAAATGAAGGTGTTTTTTCCCCCTTTTAGCCTGCCTTGATCGTGTGACACAAGGGAATGGTGTCCTGCTCTGCTTAAGTACCTACTGAATGTTGCGGCGACAGTAGGAGGCCCTGGAGAGTGTCAAGAGGTGGCTGGGAGTGCTGTGGTTACTGTGGGCTCCACGTTAGGGACCACAAGGCAGGGATGAGGAAAGCTTTGCTTGCTTCATTTCTACAGTCAGGTTGCCGTTAGAAGCAAAGGAGCGAAACCAGTAAAAGAAAGGTGGCAACGCTGGCTGCTCCAGTGAATTGTTACCTCGGAACAGAGGCTGTAATTGCTAGTTTGCACCTATTGAAAGAGTGGAATAATGGCTGCCCTGCCTTAAGTGATCTATTGAATAACTTCTAGGGGCTGGTTTTTAATACTTTGGTCTTATTTCTAACCCTTTGTAGCCTTAACTAACCCACCTTTGCTGCAGTGAGGTGTGCCTGGCTGATAACAAAGAGGGAATTGCTGGACAGCTGAGAAGATCTTGCTTTGGGCAAGCATCTGCCATCGAGTTTTCCTGCCACCTGTCAAGCTGAAGATGTGCTGAAGCCCAAAAGGGGACAGGGACCTCTTCATTCTGCAGAGATGGATGAGAAGAGCTTGGAAGCAGCAATCCAGACCTATAACGCCCAGCTGCAGCAAGTGGAACTGGCTTTGGGAGCTGTGCCAGACCCAACACAGGAACCTGACCTGATCCAACTGCAGGCGGATTTAAAGCAGCTGATAGAACTGACAGAATCCAGCCTGGTTTCTGTGAAAAAGAGCAAACTCTGTGCAACTTTGGACCCAGCGACGCTCTCCACATCTTCATCCAATCCTCTCCAGCCAGACAGGCCACTGAGCACAGATGATGAATATGCTGCTTTTAAGGAAGCCATTTCTGAAATGGGTGGAGAGGATGAGTCCCCAGACGCTCAAGATGTGGAGCAAGAAGGAGAGGAGGAGGAGGAAGAGGAAGAGGAGGAGGAGGAAGCCAGTGGGATGAAAGTGAAAGCCCCATACTACAGTTCTTGGGGGACCCTTGAGTACCATAATGCCATGATTGTGGGGAGTGAATCTATGGAAGATGGAAGCCGAGGGGTCAGAGTGCTCTATCTCTACCCCACCCACAAATCCTTGAAGCCATGCCCCTTCTTCCTGGACGACAAGTGTCGGTTTAACGAGAATTGCCGGTAATTAGGATTCCTCTTGAGTTGGGTAAGGGGTAGGGACGGGGTTCCCAATGTGTCAGGGAAGTCTTCATAATATTCCTCCTCCCCTCCACCAAGGACCTGGATGCTATGCCAAGCTTGCATTCCCCGTACCCACTTTCATTTTGGGCAGCTTTCTCCAACCTGCTGCCCTCTGCACCAGGATTTCCCAAACTTGGATCTCCGGTTCTGGTCTACAACTCCCATCATCCCTAGCTGGCAGGGCCCAGTGGTCAGGGATGATGGGAATTGTAGTCCAGAAACAGATGGAAACCCTGCTCTAGATATCTGGTAGTACAGCTCCTGTGAGCCCCAGCCAGCATGGCCAGCTGTTAGAGAAATGGGCTGTGGAGGCCACAATACTTGGAAGGCGCTGGGGTCCAATTTAGAGCATCTCTGCAGTTTAATTTTGCAGTATCCTTTGTGCAGCTTGGAAGCATGCAGTTGAGTTGCAGGGAACCTTTCGCCCTCCGATCAGCCCCAGCACAAATGTTCAATGGCCAGGGATGAAGGCAGATGTAGTTCAGCAACATCTGGTGGGCCAAATGTTTCTCATAGACAGTCCTGAATAAGAATATAAGGAGAGCCCTGCTTGCTCTGACCAGCTAGTCTAGCATCCTGTTCCCACAGTGGCCAGTCAGTGGGATGCCTGAAAACAGCACCTGAGTGCAGCAGTCCTCTCCCTGTTTGTGATTCCCAGCAGCTGGCACTTGTGATTCATTGTCCTTGTGTTGCCCCCCACCCTCCGGCAGATTCTCCCATGGGCAAGTTGTATCTGTGGAGGAGCTGCGCCCCTTTGAGGAGCCCGACCTCAGCTGCCTTGCTGTGGGCTCAGCTTGCCTGGCAAGGCATCAGGATGGGATCTGGTATGCTGCTAAAATCACCGGTGAGTTTGTTTCGCTTTGCACGTTTGCTGTGAGGTTGGAGGGTGGCTTGTGCCTATTTCTAACTTGACTTAGGGGTGCAGCAGGGGTAGGCAAGATACCTGTCTGGCATGAGGCGACCCTAAGACATACCTGAACAATCAGTGGCCCCTCTGATGCAGGCGTTTGCATGATGCACTCTTGCAAAGAAATCCAATCATTAGCTGCCTGCAAACATTTCAGTTACTACTCCACATGTAGTAACCAAGCTGCGTTATTCCAAACTTGTTCATTGGTCCATCTAGCTAGTTTATTTTCTCTGATTAGCAACAGCTTTCCAAGATTTCGGGCACAAGCATGTGTTTCTTTCTTTGGGCTTAATACCCACAGTCCTTTATAACTGGAGAACTGGGACCTGAACTATTTCGTATGCAGTGCACTTGCTCTACCAAAGTGCTTTTCCCAATGTATATGCGGAGGTGGGGACATAGCTGTCAACTTTTCCCTTTTCTTGCGAGGAATCCTATTTGGAATAAGGGGATTTCCCTTTAAAAAAGGGAAACGTTGACAGCTATGGGGCGGGGGGGGAGTGGTTAAGGATACTTTAAGGATGCATTTAATATCATACCTTTTAAGAAGTAAAGGATATTAAAATAGCCCATCAGGATCTGGGGAAACAAAGTCACAATGCTATACTAGTTCATATATACAGTGGATGTATAAATCAATGGACTGTTCAGTCTTGTGCTGTCCAGAAGCAAGGTCCACTGAGTTCAGTGGAGTTTACTCCCAGACCAACATTGCAGCAAAAGGTATTGATCTGAAACATTTTCTTGCACACACATCTTGCTGAGGAGTTCTGAGGGATGCGTGTCGTGACATTTGAGCTTTACGGGGGGAAACGCTTCTCCTAATTGCACTTGGGTACCCCAGTTGGCGCACTGAATTGCAGCCTAACCGTTTCACTTTCCCTTCCTCAGACATTGACAGCGGTTACTACACAGTGAAATTTGATTCGCTGCTCCTGAAAGAAGCAGTAGTGGAGGGAGACGGCATTATGCCTCCCCTCCGTGGTGAGGAGAGCTCATCCTCATCGGAGTCAGAAGGCGATGACGTGGATGATGCCGGATATGCCAAAGGTATAAGGCATGGGTAGGCAAACTTAGGCCTGGGGGCCAGACCCAGCCCAATTTTATTTAAAATGCATCTCTGAGTTATTTGTGGGGCATAGGAATTCGTTCATTTCCCCCCAAAAAATATAGTCCAGCCCCCCAGAAGGTCTGAGGAACAGTAGACTGGCGCCCTGCTGAAAAAGTTTGCTGACCCCTGGTATAAGGTGTGGGCATTTAAGCCTCATAGGACTTCTCGGGGGATGGGGAGATTCCCCTTTTGCTCTGAACTTCTGCTTTCACTTAGTGTAACTGCACTCTTTAATCTCTCGGGGAAAGGATTGTCTCCATCATCTTGGGCCCGCTACCTGTGGGCGTGTTGGAATGCTGGAGATTTGTGTGCTGTTTTTATCTGCAAAGTGGCTCGCTTTAGCCAAGGTCACCTCACCCTCAAAAACAGTAAAGGTTTGTTCCGTGCACAGCAAGTCTTTAAATAAAGAACCAAAGCAATCGCGGGAGCAAGCGAACCCCAGGAAATTTGATTCCTCCAGAGTTGTGGCTGAGAAGAAATGGCAAAGGGTGTTCAAAGATCACTGGAACGAAGTACCGTGTCTGCGCTGTAAACTTAGAGGAACTTTAACAACGCATATGCCCCAAAGATACCAGGGAACTGTGGTTTTATGAAGAGGCCGAAAATGCTCTGCCAGCACTCATAGAAATAAGTTTGCAAGGGGAAGGAAATATTGTTAAAAGGGGGAATAAAGGAAGCTGTCTTTGTCCCTCTAGCTCAGCGACTCTCTAGGATTTCAGAGTTAAGTGTTTTCCTGGTCTTACTAGGCATTGAACCTGGGATCTCCTGCATGTAAATTGAAGAGTAAGTGACAGGCAGTAATGTAAAAGCTGTCTGCAAGCTGGCAGCTGCTTCTGGTGGCCAGAAAGCCAAACCATATACATGTAATCATAAATGCAATTTATGTAAGGAGCTTAAGGTGGAATACATGGTTCTCCTCTTCCCCATTTTATTCCCCCAAACAACCCTCTTGGGTGGGCTGACAGAATGTGACTGGCCCAAGGTCACCCAGTGAGTTTCATGGCTGAGTGGGAATTTGAACCCTAGTCTCCCAGGTCCTAATCTGCCATCCTTCTTACTACACCACACTGGCATTTAACAAACTCTAGGCAGCCAGAAGTTGAGAGAGAAGCCGGTTGTTCTTCCTGCTTCCAAGATTCTGCATTAGGCATCCCAGCCTGCTTGGTTTTGCCAGTGCTGCTGCCCTCCTCCACTTAAACCTTCTCTTGTGCCCTCACAGTTATCGACTCCATCACCCCTGAGAATGGGGAAGGGCCCTCCTCTTGCAGTTCCTCCTTCGGCAGCTGGGAGGCGCATACGCGTGGCATTGGCTCCAAACTCCTTGCTCAGATGGGGTATGAGTTTGGCAAAGGTAAGCATTCGCATGTGTGCAAAAGGTGGTTGTCTCTGCAACTTATCCAAGTAATTTCTCTGCTTGTGCCAATAATAATAATAATAATAATAATAATAATACAGTGGTACCTTGGTTTACGAACTTAAACCGTTACGGAAGTCCGTTCATAAACCAAAGCTTTTTAAACCAAGGCGTGCTTTCCCATAGCAGCGGGGGACTCAATTTACAAATGGAACACACTCAACAGGAAACGGAACATGTTTTGCTTCCAAGGCAAAGTTCACAAACCAAAACACCTACTTCCGGGTTTGCAGCGTTTTTAATCCAAGTTGTTCATAAACTAAGCTGTTCTTAAACCAAGGTACCACGATAATAATAATAATAATAATAATAATAATAATAATAATAATAATAATAATAATATCCCATCCATCTGGCCAGGCCTCCCCAGCCACGCTGGGCAGCTTCCAACAGAACACTAAAAACATGATAAAACATCAAACATTAAAAACTTTGCTAAAGAGGGCTGCCTTCAGATGTCTTCTAAAAGTCAGAGAGTTGTTTGTTTTCTTGACATCTGATGGGAGGGCGTTCCACAGGGCGGGCGCCTCTACCGAAAACACCCTCTGCCTGGTTCCCTATAACTTCACTTCTCGCAAGGAGGGAACCGCCAGAAGGTCCTCAGAGCCAGACCTCAGTGTCCGGACTGAATGATGGGGGTGGAGACACTCCTTCAGGTATCCAGTAGGACCGAGGCTGTTTAGGACTTTGAAGATCAGCACCAACACTTTGAATTGTGCTTAGAAACATACTGGGAGCCAATGTAGGTCTTTCAGGACCGGTGTTATATGGTCTCAGCAGCTGCTCCCTGTCACCAGTCTAGCTGCCACATTCTGGATTAGTTGCAGGTTCCAGGTCCCCTTCAAAGGTAGCCCCATGTAGAGCGCATTGTAGTAGTCAAAGCGAGAGATAACCAGAGCATGCACCACTCTGGCGAGACAGTGCGTGGGCAGGGTGGGTCTCAGCCTGCGTACCAGATGGAGCTGGTAGACAGCTGTCCTGGACACAGAATTAACCTGCACCTCCATGGACAGCTGTGAGTCCAAAATGACTCCCGGTAGGGACCCCTGATGCAAGCTAATGACCAGGAGTAGCTAATGAGTAGGATGCCTGATGCAAGCTAATGACTTGCTAAAAACCACTGCAACCCATATGACCTGGGTTGCTGTGCGTAATAGAAACCTGGTGGACAAGCAGCAGCAAGGACAGGCCCGTCTGCTTCATCCATCCAAGTGTCTCTTACACATGCCAGGTCAAGTCCTCCATCCATCACTCTCCTCCTGCTTCAGGTTTGGGGAAGAATTCGGAGGGCAGAGTGGAGCCGGTCTTAGCAGTTGTGCTGCCCAAAGGCAAGTCCTTGGACGAGTGTGCCGAGATCCTCCAGAAGAAAAGGGAGGGGAAGATTGATCCAGCCAAGCCCAGAAAACGAAGGGCGAAAGGCAACCGAGCCGCCCGGCCTCCCCGGCAGGGCCCAAAGCCCTCCCGAAATGTCTTTGACTTCCTGAATGAGAAGCTTCAGGGCCAGGACCTCAGTGAGCAGGAGGCAGGGCTTGCACCCCTAGAGAGGAGCAGCAAGGAGATCTACCACGCCAGCAAGAGCACCAAGAAGGCTCTGAGCGTCCGCCTCTTCCAGACGGTGGAGAAAATCGACCAAACCCAGAAGGACATCCGCGGGATCCAGGAAGCCCTGGCACGCAACATCGGGAGGTAATGAGACCTTTCGATTCTGCATGTGGTATCTGATCTAGAATGGAGGCCGTGGGTTTTGGCTTCCCAGTATTTCTGGCTTAGCTGGAAATATTTCAGTAGTGCTGGCTGGGGCTGATGGGAGTTGTCGTCCAAAACATCCAGAAGAGCACCAGGCTCTTGCATCACAGAATCAGAGAACTGTAGTTAAAAGGGACCCACAACGACCATCTAGTCCAACCCCCTGCAATGCAGGAATCTCAGCTAAAGCATCCAGGACAGATGGCCACCCAACCTCTGCTTAGAAACCCCTAAGGTAGGAGAGTCCATATTTCCCCGAGGGAGACCATTCCACTGTCAAACAGCTCTTACTATGAGTCAGCAATATCAAAAGCAGCAAGATTACCAGAAACAATAACAATGCGAACATCTTTATGGAATAATTCAAAACATCAAAACTAACAAACTGAAGTCTCTGAAAGTCCTTAAATGAATTACAGTGCCAGACTTTACCCGGCGAAGAGGAAGCAGTGAAGTTGAATCAGCAAATGTCCAATTCTGATGTCCAACTCTGAACTCTGCTGAACAGTGTTTCCGGATAGCAACTACTGTTTTGTTGAATTTTTCATCAGCCAATTAGTTCCACACTCATCAGTAGAAAAATATGTAATTTCTTCATTAACCAATCTTTTTTCAAATAGATATAATGAAAAATACTCTGGAACAGTGCTCATGCGATTATGTAGTCACAGTGACTTCACAGCTTGCTTTCCGCTGGGTAAAGTCTGGCACCGTAATTCATTTAAGGACTTTCAGAGACTTCAGTTTGTTAGTGTTGATGTTTTGAATTATTCCATAAGGCTGTTCACATTCCAGTTACAGATAGGTAGCCGTGTTGGTCTGCCATAGTCAAAACAAAAAAATATTCCTTCCAGTAGCACCTTAAAGACCAACTAAGTTAGTTCTTGGTATGAGCTTTCGTGTGCATGCACACTTCTTCAGATACACTGTGTATCTGAAGAAGTGTGCATGCACACGAAAGCTCATACCAAGAACTAACTTAGTTGGTCTTTAAGGTGCTACTGGAAGGAATTTTTTGTTGTTCACATTGTTATTGTTTCTGGCCACTGTGTTGCTTTTGATATTTCTGACTTTTGCAACACAGGGGTTGGTTTTTTTACTTAAACAGCTCTTACTGTCAGAAAGTTCTTCCTGATGCTTAGTTGGAATCTCCTTTTGTGTAACTGGAAGCCATGGGTTTGAGTCCTACCCCCAGAATAGGAGAAAACAAGCTAGCTCCATCTTCCATGTGACAGCCCTTGAAATATTTGAAGATGGCTATTATAGCTCCCCTCTTTTCCAGGCTAAACATACCCAGCTCCTTCAACCGTTCCTCATAAGGCTTGGCTTCTAGACCCTTGATGATGATGATGATGATAAATTTATATCCCGCCCTCCCCAGCCGAAGCCAGGTTCAGAGCGGCTAACAACAGTAAAAGTAACACAGTACATAAAATCACAATCTATTAATTGAAATACATTCTAAAATCACTTCATTCTAAAATCAGTTCAGAATCAAATTAACGGCAACCATTGGGCTAGAGTGCTATGAGGTTGCCCTCCTCTGCACACCTTCCAGCTTGTCAATATCCTTAAATTGTGGTGCCCAGTAGTTGGTTTGATGGAGGGCGATAGAGTAGGCACCTCCCTGTGCATGTTCCTTTTCTCAGGACGTCCTTCTAATTCTCTGGGTTTGGGGCTTTCAGGCACACGGTTGCCGCAGCTCAGCTGGAGGAGAAGCTTGCCGGAGCCCACAAGAGACTGAGCGAGCTGCGGGCTCAGGAGGCCAGTCTCCAGCGAGAGCAGAAGAAAGCCAACACACACAAGAAAATGACTGAGTTCTAGCCTCTCTCCTTCTCTCCCGCCCTTCGTCAGGCCGGGCCATTTTCGCTGGTCTGGAAGCAGCCATGCTGTTCTACAAGTGTGCAGGGAGGGAGACCTTGCTATCTCTTGAGCTGGCAGACAGGCCAGTCCTGCTCTTCCTTCGTCCTGGCTGCACAGCTGGGCTCAAAGGCAGGTGCTGAGGATGAGGTGGGTGGCCCAGAGCCATGGATACCTGAATGCAAAGGTAGCCAGCGTGGGGTATTCTAGGTGTCTCTGGGCTCAAGCTCCTATCATCCCTGACAGGGCCTGATGAGTGTTGGCCACATCACTGGCTCTCTTTTGTTATGCATAATTGGCTTTCTAAAGAGAAAAGCTACAAGGTGGTGCACCTACATTGGAGCTGCAGAGAATGTTAATCAGGCATGGGAACCGCTAGTAGATTCCTGCCCTTCTCCTGGCCGTTTCCTTGTCTGTCTCCGCCTCTCTGCCTCCCTTGGCAACTTCTTGGTGGTGGGTGATCTCCCCACCCAACTCGCAACAGAGAAAAGCGCCACGAGAAGTAGGAAGAGATAAGGTGGTTCTCTAGGACCCGTGCGATTCTCCTGACTTGGAAGGAACTGCTGAAGTCTCGTGCGCGGCATCCGCACCAATAGTCAGGTGCTAGAAGTGTGGTAGCATTATCTCCCTGTGCAACTCCTGGGCGGGGAGGGTTTAACAGCCATGTGAAAAGAAGCTTGTAGGGAGGCTGGCTGTTCTCGCTGGCCCAGACAAGCAGCAGTTCAGTTCTTTGAGGATTCTTGGCCTATAGTCCCGGTGCTTTCTCCCATCAAATCCCGGCAAGTTTGAAGGCAGAACTGCCTCCTGTAGGTTTCTCCTTAAATCAGAGGTGTGGCCGTCCCCATGTTGTTGGGACTCTAGTTCCCATCATCCTTGACCACTGGCTGCGGCTGATGGGAGTTGGAGTCCCAACCACATGGGGACAGCCACGTGCTTTGACGTCTACCCCCCCCCCCCGAACAACAACCATCAGGTGGTGAGTTCTTCTGTGTTCATGCAACCCCCTTCTGAAGCATTTGCCTTCCGTCAGAACTGACAGCGGAGCAGAGAAAAGCCGCTATCATTCTTGCTCACTCCTGCAGCCCCACAGGAGAGATAGCATCAGAGAAGTGGGTAAAACTGTTTGGTCTCAGGAAGAATGCTCTGCTGAGGAGAAGAGCAGTGTTGGGTTCTGCGTTTCGGGGCAGGCTTAGACATCTGTGTAGCTTCCTGTGCACGTTTCCTTTCAGGTTTGTAAAGATTATTTTGAGTTAAAAGAACAATTGTCATGCTGACTCCTTTGCTTTCTGGGTCTTGGGACTTTTTACGTAGCTCAGGTTCTAGTGTGTGTGCTTTTGCATGTATGATAGACGGTGCATCTTCGTTTGCAGTTGGGTTTGCAAAATATAATTCCCCAGCAAGGAAGTGGTCTGGTTTTCTTCAGCTGTGCCTGGGCCATCTAACAGAGATAAATCTACCCTGTAAAAAGCACTGGGGGCCAGAAGAAGAGCAGCCACTCGGTTTAAATTCCTGTTACATCCCCCCACACACACACCCTTGAATTCTGTTAGAAAGGCATCTTGTTCTCCTTCTGTTTCCCATTTCTAAAGGAGCAATCTTTAGCGATCACTCATAGCCGAGTAAGATTGTCTTCCATAAACACGGTTTTAACAATGAGTCCGTAAGTAACTACTGTGGAGGCTAATTCTGGACCCACACGTCCTTCCACTGTGGGGACATAGGTTTCCGGGCGGGAGTTGATTACGGTGTGGATTTGCCAAGCGTGCCTTCCTCTTAGCACGTTTCTCCCTTTTGTCCTGAGTTCGAGTACCTTCAAAGCCCATGACACCTTTGCTAAAGTAAAGGAGGAAGAGACAAACGTAAGGAAGTCTCTCCTAATCTCTGCCCATTAAATGTGCTGTATTTGAGCTAGGTGCCAAATCCCACCCTACTGGGTGCAATATGTTCAGCCCTCTGTTTAAAACAGGGTGGGATGTTATCCTCACTTAATCTGAAAAAGCTACTGCTTTGCTAGGGTGACTGGGTCTTGTCAGGTTCTTCAACACGCCGGTATTCTTGTTTAAGGCTGCAGTGCTTGTTTTGCTTTTTAAAAATAATAATAATCTAGGACGAAGAAGCACTGAATCCAGTGGTGCTTATTCTAAGTAAATGTGCTCAGAATCGGGCAGTACAGATAGGCACATGACAGCAGGTTCTACTTCCGGGTCCACGTAAACCACAGGGCACATGCTATGCCTGAAGCGTCATGGAAGATTGGAAGCACCAGCTTCTCCTGCTCTTAAATGCTGAGCAGGTTTCTAGTTCTCATGGGGAAGCTCCCAATTGGGGAATGGAAGCAAGAGTCCTGATTCCCCAGGTTTTGTGCCAGTCGTAATTCACTCCTTAGACCACCCTCGCTTGCCACCCTTAGTAAGTGGGAACTAAAGGTTACTTTGTCCGTCTGTTAGTTATCTGTTCCTTAAAAAAGAAGAACCGATTTCTGGAAAGGAATATTTTGCATCCACAATAAAGTATTCAGGCTACATTTATGTGTGGTAGATAACATGTTTTAAAGGGTGGTTTGTGATGCTCTGATATTACTTGGGAAAGGTTTTCATATGGGAGACTTCTCCTTCCCACCGAATAATACTGGGCCCCTCTTTGGCCCCAGAAAGCATGGGAGAACCTCAGTGAAATAATCTCTTCCTCTGGCCTGAAATAGGATGAGGTTACTTGCACAGAGCTCTTAATTTAACTCGCAATTGCTGGGTCAAACCACGTGTCCACATAACACAGCATCTTGGTTTTTTTATATTATATGTGGCTGCCGAGACCACATAACACCGGTCTTGAAAGACCTACATTGGCTCCCAGTACGTTTCCAAGGACAATTCAAAGTGCTGGTGCTGACCTTTAAAGCCCTAAACAGTCTTGGCCCAGTATACCTGAAGGAGCGTCTCCACCCCCAACGTTCTGCCTGGACGCTGAGGGCCTTCTGGTGGTTCCCTCATTGCGAGAAGCAAAGCTGCAGGGAACCAGGCAGAGGGCCTTCTCGGTAGTGGCGCCCGCCCTGTGGAACGCCCACCAGATGTCAAAGAGAAAAACAATACAGTGGTACTTGGGGTTACATACGCTTCAGGTTACAGACTCCGCTAACCCAGAAATATTACCTCGGGTTAAGAACTTTGCTTCAGGATGAGAACAGAAATCACGCAGCAGCGCCACAGCGGCAGCAGGAGACCCCATTAGTTAAAGTGGTGCTTCAGGTTAAGAACAGTTTCAGGTTAAGAATGGACCTCCGGAACGAATTAAGTACGTAACCAGAGGTACCACTATACCAGACTTTTAGAAGATATCTGAAGGCAGCCCTGTTTAGGGAAGTTTTTAATGTGTGACATTTTAATGTATTTTTCATCTTTGTGGGAAGCCGCCCAGAGTGGCTGGGGAAACCCAGCCAGATGGGTGGGGTACAAATAATATATTATTATTATTATTATTATTATTATTATTATTATTATTATTATTTATTATTGGCCAGCCACTTCTGGGAAGCACATAGGCAAGGTGGAAAGGAACAACACCCCGCCCCTCACAGCAGCTGACTTTCAGATATACACTGCGGCTGCACATGGAAGTTCCATTCATGTACCTCGGCCATTGAAAAACCTACCCTCCACAGGAATGAGGCCCTGCTGAGATGTTCCACAAGGGGGTGGGGAGTGGAGCACACTTCTGGTCTCATCTACCTGCCGCTGGTACTTTTGCTTTTCATTTTTTTGGTTTTGAAAAGCAGCATGCAGTTGGGCGATGCGGGCAGGAAGCCGGCTCTGCCACAGGGCGCATGTGGCCTCCGCTCAGAGGCAGCCACCCACCCTGGGAAAGTCAGCCGTGCGACCGAGCTGCTTGCAGCCACCCAGAAAGCTGGGACCTGACCTTTTATTCTAGAAGACGGTGAGGCCAAGCCGAACGATCAAGGGATTCCGATCGCTGGGGCAGATTGCAGAGATGCCCTTTGCCCGCCTCTGTCCCCCCCACTGCTAAAGTAAGTAACCTGAACTGTGGCGGTTCTCCGCGCCTCTAAAAGTTGTCTTAAGGCTGCGATCCTGGGCATGCTTGGCTTGGGATGAGCATCCCAGGAGATTTATTTCCAAGGAAACGTGCTGAGATGCTGCCCCAAGCACCCGTCCAGTTAGGGGCCAGGCAGTAAGAGCTGTTTGACAGTGGAATTTGCTGCCAAGGAGTGTGGTGGAGTCTCCTTCTTTGGAGGTCTTTAAGCAGAGGCTTGACAACCATATGTCAGGAGTGCTCTGATGGTGTTTCCTGCTTGGCAGGGGGTTGGACTCGATGGCCCTTGTGGTCTCTTCCAACTCGATGACTCTATGATTCTAATGCATTGAGCACGTCCCGTTTTCAGAGGTGGCTCTCTGCTTCGTAAGCTGGACTTGGCAGAGGAGGGAGTGAAAGGCTCAGCCGTTTCAGGAGAGCCAGTGTGGGGTATCAGAGTGCCAGTCTAGCACCTGGGAAACCAGGGTTCAAATTCCCACTTGGCCATGAAGCTCAGTGGGTGACCTTTGGGGGGGCTGGTGCCTGCCTCTCAGCCTAGCCTACCTCATAGGGTTGTTGTGGGGAGCAAATGAGGAGGGCAGGAGCTATGTCGCCATCTTACGTTCCTTGTTGGGGGGGATATAATTGCCATATGATGTATACGACAATCGGCGGCCATGTTTTAGAGCATCCTCCAACATCCCCCAGATGTTTGGGGCTTTCAGTGCTTCCCAGTCCCAGCCATGACAACCCCGTGATTGAGGGTGACAGGAGTTGCAATCCGAAAACATCTGGAGGGAACCAGGTTGACGAGAGCTGCTTTAGAGTGAGAGAGGCGCCCTAAATTTATGCTCTTTGAAGCTTAAAATCGTGCTGTGAGACTAAAAGGAGGGGAAGAATCACATATGTCCCATTAGCTTTTTTATAAGGGGGGGGTATCATAGAACTATAGAATTATAGTTGGAAGGGATCACAAGGCTCATCTAGTCCAACCCAGTGCTGGGCTCGAACCCACAGCCTTGCGATTAAGCCCTAAACGGCCTTGGTCCAGTATACCTGAAGGAGCATCTCCACCCCCATCGTTCTGCCCGGACCTTGAGATCCAGCTCCGAGGGCCTTCTGGTGACTCCCTCACTGCGAGAGGCCAAGTTACAGGAAACCAGGCAGAGGGCCTTCTCGGTAGTGGCACCCGCCCTGTGGAACGCCCTCCCACCAGATGTCAAAGAGAACAACAACTACCAGACTTTTAGAAGACATCTGAAGGCAGCCCTGTTTCGGGAAGCTTTTAATATTTAATAGACTATTGTATTTTAATATTTTGTTAGAAGCTGCCCAGAGTGGCTGGGGAAACCCAGCCAGATGGGTGGGGTATAAATAATAATTATTATTATTATTATTATTATTATTATTATTATTATTATAAGAGCCTTGTGCTCTACCGACTAAGCTATCACATAATTCCAATCAATAAATGTTTCTTGATCTTTAGTCTCTATGGACGGGAGGTTGCATTATCCAGTCTGTTTTAATGTCAGAATTGTATAGAAGGGATTCAATGAGTTATCTAGTCCAACCCCAGCATCTTCATGAGGGGTAGTGACTGTGACTTCGTTTTGTTAGGAGGAGATGAGTTGATGGGACCATGGGCTGCTTCAGGCATAAGCTTTGGGGCATCAACATCCTGCGATGCTAGCCCTCTAACTGCATTTTAAAAATTCATTTGACTTCATCTCCCTTTCATTTTACAAAAGTATATTCTGAGCTGCTAACAGCAACAAAAAAGCAAGGTCAAATATATAAAAATACGTGTTATTCGGGGGTTTTTTTAAAAAAGGCTTCCCAGTAGTTTTCAAAGTGTAAAAACCAGTTACACAAACATTAAATAGAAGCACCTGCAATTAGATCATACAGTAAGACAATCCCTTTAAAACACAGCAATTAAAACACGAGACTGGTTGAGAGAGCAAGGGAATTTCCATAAGCAGGTAAGTCTTCAAAACCCATCAAAACGCCCAAACCGATGGAGCAGGGATTGCATTTTGTAACGCTGGGGCAAACACTGAAAAATTCCGCCTCTGTGTCACCGCAAGCTGATAAGCATCAGGCTGTGGCAAGACTGGGTTTATTTTAGGCAACAGGGCCCAAGTTAGTTATGGCAGTGGTTTTCAACCTGTGTGCCATGGCACCTTGGGGTGCCTTGAAGGATGGCCAGGGGTGCCACAGACAACACTGGCCTCTGTCCCTCTTTCCTTCCCTCCTTCCTCTGATGCCCTCTCGCATCTCTGCCTCCCAAAGGCTTGCACAGCTGTTTGCTGCAGCAGCCCTGGCTGCAAACTCCCCAGGCGAATGGTGCCTTTGGGGCTGTCCAGGGGGTGCTGGTTGCCAGGAGCTGAGGCAGCCTTGGAATAAGCAAGCAAGCGGGTGAGGGAGCCCAGCCGGCCAGCCCTTGCTGCTGGGAATGGACAAAGCAACAACAAACCTCTGGTTACGTGAAACTTGTTCAATAAACACACAAGACGTAACTGGCTGTACGTTTGAAAAAAATAATACATACTATTCATTGTATTGAATTGTAGATTTCAACAAAAGTAGGTCATAAAGGTCAACGAAAAATGTAGAAGACCCAGTGGTTCATTCTCTAAGTTTATGCCTAAGGTCCATATATGTGAAAATGTCTATTCCACCTGTCTGTTCATAGAGTCCAACAAAGGTTGCAGTTCCACAGAATCCTTTCACAAAGACAAGGATTTCTGGAATACAGTGGTACCTCGGGTTACATGCGCTTTAGGTTACAGACGCTTCAGGTTACAGACTCCGCTAACCCAGAAATAGTGCTTCAGGTTAAGAACTTTGCTTCAGGATGAGAACAGAAATCGTGCTCCAGCGGCGCAGCAGCAGCGGGAGGCCGCATTAGCTCAAGTGGTGCTTCAGGTTAAGAACAGTTTCAGGTTAAGAATGGACGTCCGGAACGAATTAAGTACTTAACCCGAGGTACCACTGTATTAGCCTTGTTTTGCCGTCTTGGGCTTCATCAGTAGTACAAACTCATATATGATATCACAGGACAGTGGATCTTATAGCATAGTAGTAGCAAGAACTTTATGAGCTACTTCTGTTGAAGTTCTGTTGTTGTTGTGAATTTTATATTTATACCCTTCCTATCTTACTGGGTTGACCCAGACACTCTGGGAAGCTTCCAACATATATGAAAACATAATAAAACATTAAACATTTTAAAACTTCCCTATAGAGGGCTGCCTTCAGATGGCTTGTGGGGGTCAGATAACTCCATCCCCTCCAACATTTCTCCAATGAAAACAGGGGGGAAAGGGGACATTCAAGGATCAAATAAAAAACAGATGGCTTCTGTGAATCCGGAACCGTCCCTGGAAAACAGGGGCACTTGGAGGGTCTGTAGGACTAGGAGAAGAAAAGAGAAGGAAGAGGTGACATGCTAGAAATTTATGAGGTTATAAATGGCATAATCAAACTGGAACTTGTGGACAGTCAATGAGGCTGAATGTTGTAAGATCCAGGACAGATAAAATAAAGCCCTTTGTGCAGTGCATAGTGAGACTGTGGAACTCACTCCAACAGGAAGCAGCAATGGCTGCCAATCAAGATAAAAAAGGAGAGGGCAAATTCATGAGGAGGAGAGGGTTCTCTCTGTTTGTTGTTTTTTTAAATTTTCAATGCAAAATTACAACAAAAATTACAAACATTCTATCCAAAATCAAACAGTACAAACAAGAAAAAAAACACAAAAGAAAAAAGAACAAAAAAACACATCTACAAATAAAACCATATCATCATTCTAATCTAGTCATTACATACATATACACGTATTGACTTCCTTCCTTTGTTCTAAGACCTCAAAATTTTTACTCTTTCTAAGTTGTTGCGTCTAATGTAGATTACTTCTATTACTTCTATCTTTATACTTTTTACACCATTTTTCTCTTTCTTTACCCCTGCAAAGCTTCATTCATTACATATGCTTACTCCAGAATAATATTTTTTCATATACTCTTTAGCACATCCCCATTCTTTTAACAATTTTTGGTCCGATTGACAAAATTTAATTTGTCATTCTTTCGCGGATGGAATTTCTCTCCCTTTCCAGTTTTTTTGCTGTGAGCATCCTGGCAGCTGTTGTCACAAAAAATAATACTTTCCTTTGATTGTCTGGAATATCGTTTGTGATTTTAGGTACGGTATAATCACAAACAAGGAGGAGAGGGTTGTCAATGGCTCCTAGCCATGATGGCTCTGCTCTGCTTCCACAATTGGAGGCAGCCATGCTTCTGAATACCGCTTTCTGGAAACCCCAGGAGGGGCGAGAGTGCTCCTGAGTTCGAATCCTGCTTGCAAATTTCCTACAGTCATCTGGTTGGCCTCTGTGAGAACAGGATGCTGGCCCGTTGGCCTGATCCAGCCGGCTCCTCTTATGTTTTTATCAGGGCAGAGCCTGGCAATATGGCGCCCTGTGCATATAAATTAATGATGAGAAATAAGGAAAAGGATGATAAGGATAATTCAGAATAAATGGGAGCGGGAAGGGCTGTTTCATTTGAATACAGTCCAAGAGATGATGAAGAGTACAGATAAAATAAAAATGGATAAATAAAAAGAATTAAGCAGGAAATTCCTATTGAAACGGTATAGAACCCCGGCGCAACTGGCATACATAGTTAAAGGATTGAGTCCTAAGTGCTGGCACTGCGGTCAAGAGTTAGGGGTATATGCACATATGTGGTGGGAGTGTATTTGTGTAAAGGAATATTGGCAAAAGATTATAAAGGTTATTTCTGATGTATTTCAGATAGAAGTCAATAGAGAAATGCTTATCTCAGGAATACTGGGGAATAGTAAAATAGAAAGAAAAGAGCAAGATTGGTTTTCCCCGGAGCTGAGGGCGATGAAACAATCGTTGAGACGGCTAGAGCGCCGGTAGCGGAAAACTCACTCTGAATCAGACCGGACACAGGCTAGAGCTCAACGTCGAGCCTACCAAGTGGCAATGGCGATGGCGAAGAGGGCCTTCTTCGCCACCTCCATTGCATCTGCAGAAAACAGCAGCAGGAGACTTTTTCAGGTGGTTCGCAATCTATCGGAACCATCTGCACCACCAGGGCCTGGTAGGGACCCCAAGATCTCCTGCAATGCTTTTGCAAAAATTTTTGCAGATAAAATCGCTCAGATTCAGAAGGAGGTAGACTCCACCATGGGAGCAGGGCCAGGGCGGGAGAGTGCTAGAGTTCTGTCTAGTCCTGTTACATGGGATCAATTCCAATCTGTTACCTCCGAGGATGTGGACAGGCTGCTTGGACAAGTGAAACCGACCACTTGTCTCCTTGATCCTTGCCCATCCTGGCTGATAAAAGCGAGCCGGGAAGGGATGGGCGATGGGCTCTGCGGGGTGGCGAATGCTTCCCTCTGTGAGGGAGCCTTCCCAGACCCGCTGAAAGAGGCAGTCATTAAACTGCTTCTTAAAAAAACATCTTTAGACCCAGCCAATTTGGCCAACTATCGCCCAGTTTCAAATCTTCCATTCTTGGGCAAGGTGATTGAGCGGGTGGTTGCCGAACAACTCCAAGCACGCCTGGAGGAACGGACCATTTGGATCCCTTCCAATCGGGATTCAGGCCTCACCATGGGACTGAAACTGCCTTGGTCGCACTGGTTGATGATCTCCGGCGGCTAGGGACAAAGGTGAGAGCTGTTTCCTAGTTCTGTTGGATCTCTCAGCGGCCTTTGACACCATCGACCATAACATCCTTCTGGACCGTCTAGAGGGGTTGGGAGCTGGGGGCACTGTCATACAGTGGTTCCGCTCCTTCCTCCTGGGCCGTGTTCAGAAAGTGGTGGTGGGGGATGAGTGTTCAGACCCCTGGGCTCTCACTTGTGGGGTGCCTCAGGGTTCCGTCCTCTCCCCCATGCTTTTTAATATCTATATGAAGCCGTTGGGAGAGATCATCAGGGGGTTTGGGCTGGGTGTCCATCAGTATGCAGATGACACCCAGCTCTACCTCTCCTTTAAATCAGAACCAGTGAAGGCGGTGAAGGTCCTGTGTGAGTGCCTGGAGGCAGTTGGAGGATGGATGGTGGCTAATGGATTGAGGTTGAATCCTGACAAGACAGAAGTACTGTTTTGGGGGGACAGGGGGCGGGCGGGTGTGGGGGATTCCCTGGTCCTGAATGGGGTAACTGTGCCCCTGAAGGACCAGGTGCGCAGCCTGGGAGTCATTTTGGACTCACAGCTGCCAATGGAGGAACAGGTTAATTCTGTGTCCAGGGCAGCTGTCTACCAGCTCCACCTGGTACGCAGGCTAAGACCCTACCTGCCCGTGGACTGTCTCACCAGAGTGGTGCATGCTCTAGTTATCTCCCGCTTGGACTACTGCAATACTCTCTACGTGGGGCTACCTTTGAAGGTGACCCGGAAACTGCAATTAATCCAGAATGTGGCAGCTAGACTGGTGACAGGGAGTGGCCGCTGGGACCACATTACACCGGTTCTGAGAGATCTGCATTGGCTCCCAGTACGTTTCCGAGCATAATTCAAAGTGTTGGTGCTGACCTTGAAAGCCCTAAACGGCCTCGGTCCAGTATACCTGAAGGAGCATCTCCACCCCATCGTTCTGCCTAGACACTGAGATCCAGCGCCGAGGGCCTTCTGGCGGTTCCCTCATTGCGAGAAGTAAGGTTACAGGGAACCAGGCAGAGGGCCTTCTCGGTAGTGGTGCCTGCCCTGTGGAATGCCCTCCCTTCAGATGTGAAGGAAATAAGCAGCTATCTTATCTTAAAAAGACATCTGAAGGCAGCCCTGTTCAGGGAAGTTTTTAATGTCTGATGCTGTATTGTTTTAATATTCAGTTGGAAGCCGCCCAGAGTGGCTGGGGAAACCCAGCCAGATGGGTGGGGTATAAATAATAAATGATGATGATGATGATGATGATCTTAGCTGGTATGCTTGTTATTGCATTAGGATGGAAAACTAAAGGATAAATGGACCATGGAAAAATGGAATGACTATGTTTTTGAATATATACAATCTGATATATTTGAACAGGTGATGGCGGAAGATACATGGGAAAACAAACGTCAAAAGGTTTTGAATAAATGGACGAGTTATAGGAATTGGCTAGCACAGGCGGAAGCCAACCCAAGCATCCAAATTAGAATGAATAATCTGTGCACATGGTTAAAGATCAGAAGAGAGAACAATTTTTTTGGGGGGGGGTTAAAGGGGAGGGAGGAAGGGGGGGAAATTAGGATAAATGAGTAGGGACAAAAGTAAATACTGTTATGTATAACTAATAGGATGATTTTGATGTATGTTATAGTTAGATTTTTGACTGAATGATTTTTTTAAAAAAATACATTGACTTTTCCATAAGGCTCACCATTGCCATCTAGTGTCACATTGTATACTGCACTTAAAACACACTTAAAACCTTTAATTTGCAACTGTATAGCCCAGGACTTAACTAGGCTTTAGGACGGAAGCGGGAAGGTGTGTCCTTGGCCCCCACGATGCCCTAAATCTGCCTCTGTTCTTACGGTACTGGAAACAAAGAGAGTCACGCTAGGGAGAGCCTGACGGCGAATGTCGCACTCAGCTTCCTGTGTGCTGTTTGACCTTAGAGCGCATGAACATAGCAGGTCGTCCTTGTTTGCAACACGGGGAGCAGCAGAGACCACAGCTTAGCTGTGGTTGACAGTTTGGCGATGCAGCGACAGCTCAGGTTTGCAGGCCCTGTGGCTCAGAGGCACAGGAAACCCATTGCCAACCAAAGTGCAAACTGCAAGGGGCCCGTGATATTTTGCATGCTTCGTTAAGAGCCTGCAAGAAGGAGGCTTTCTTTTTATATATATATAATTTTTTTTTTAGTTTTTTAACATATCATTTTCAACACTAATTAAACATACTTTTACATCTTATACAATTTTTTTGACTTCAATCAATCCTGTCGGAAAATTTTCCAATCTAATCTCTTAATATACATTTCTTACTTTCCCTATTACATTTAAATCTCATAACTGATATCTTTTTTCTTTTTCTACTTTGCAACGTTTCATATTTTTCTCTTTACAGAACTTCTTGTAGTCCTACTAGTGTAATTTGTTGATTACAATTGCTCTTCAAATAGTTTGTATACTTCTTCCAATCTTCTGTAAATCTCTGGTCCCGCAGGTTTTGAATCCTTCCTGTCATTTTATCCAATTCTGCGTAGTCCGCTAATTTTATCTGCCATTCTACTTTCGTCGGAATTTCTTCTTGCTTCCATTCCTGAGCTAACAACACTTTTGCCACTGTTGTTGCATATAAAAACAATTTAACATCCTGCCTATTAATGTCCTGACCTATAATACCAAGTAAATCTAGCCCCCCAGAGGACCTTAAGGTACACAAATGACAACACTTTGGAGGTCCCGAGCCTCAAGGAGGTTAGATTGGTTTCAACTAGGGCCAGGGCCTTTTCAGTACTGGCCCCGACTTGGTGGAACGCTCTGCCACAAGAGACCAGGGCCCTGCGGGACTTGACATTTTTCGCAGGGCCTGCAAGACAGAGCTGTTCCTCCTGGCCTTTGGTTTGGACTCGGTCTGACCCTTATGTTTCCCTCCCCTTATGGTCTTGATTTATTGGCTACTTTAAAATGAGGCTGCATTTTAAATTGCATTTTAACCTGTATTTTAAATTGGTTTTTTCCCTCCCCCCTTCTCTTTTCCCCCTATTATGTTTTTACTGTGATTTTATTGGTGTTAGCCGCCCTGAGCCCGGCTCTGGCCGGGGAGGGAGAGGTATAAATAAAATTTATTATTGTTATTATTATTGCAGTACTGAGCCAGATGGACAAATGGTGTGATTCTGTATAAGGCAGAATGAATGAATGAATGAGGCCAACTGCATCCTGGGAGTCTGATGGTCCTTTTTGCTTCTTCTCCTCCACAGCATCCTATGCCAAGAGCGTCTCGCAGGGGAATCCACTGATGGCTCCATCCCTGGAGGAAGTGGGGGCTGACGGCTTCTTCCCTTCGTTCCTTCTCGTCTCCCTGGTTGGCCTAACCGCCTGTCTCTTGGCCCTCTGCGCACTTTGCAGGAGGTAAGCATCTGAGCTCCTCTCACCCTTAATTGGCAAGTCTTCTCCAGATAGAGTGCCTGGGGCCCCTGGTTCTACCACATCCCATTCATTTCATTCATACAATTTACACATTTCATTCATACAATTTACACATTTACACAATTACACATACAATATGTAACGCTGTACTGTTTTTAACACTGATTGGGAGCCGCCCAGAGTGGCTGGGGAAACTCAGTCAGATGGGCGGGGTATAAAAAATAATTATTATTATTATTATTATTATTATTATTATTATTATTACACGCCTCTTGATTGAAAAATGAACAAACCTCAAAGCATATAAAAAAAATATAAATTGTCCAGTGGCACTTTAGAGACAAACTAAGTTTGTTCTTGGTATAAGCTTTCGTAACAAACTTAGTGGGTCTCCAAGGTGCCACTAAACAATTTTTTTAAATATATATATATATATATATATATATATATATATATATACACACACACACACACACACACACACACACACACACATACACACATATATATATTTCAACTGGGACATGGGTGGCGCTGTGGGTTAAACCACAGAGCCTAGGGCTTGCCGATTAGAAGGTCGCGGTTCGAATCCCCGCAACGGGGTGAGCTCCCATTGCTCGGTCCCTGCTCCTGCCAACCTAGCAGTTGGAAAGCACGAAGTACAAGTAGATAAATAGGTACCGCTCTGGTGGGAAGGTAAACGGCATTTCTGTGCGCTGCTCTGGTTCGCCAGAAGCGGCTTAGTCATGCTGGCCACATGACCCGGAAGCTGTACACCGGCTCCCTCAGCCAATAAAGCGAGATGAGCGCCGCAACCCCAGAGTCGGTCACAACTGGACCTAATGGTCAGGGGTCCCTTTACCTTTACCTATTTCTGTGGCTTAGTCACAAGATAGTCAACAGCTCATCGTTGCAGGAAAGACAGAGCATTTCCAGTCTATGCATGTGCTAATCTGCAGGCATGTTGGGTTTGGTGCCTTTTTGTTCTAAGGCACTGAAGAGAACAGACGTGTTTGTCTCTGTCTCCAGCAAAAAGTTAAAAGAGGCTGCAGCAGAGAAGGGTTTTTAGCTCAGAATGCAAGTTATTTGTAAACTAAGTTCAACCAATCAATCATTTTTCGTATTTGACTAAAAGCCATTACCAATTCACTTACAAAACCAACAAAGCCTATGAAGAAAAATCCAGAAACAAGCCGCCATTTACAATAAATCAAATTACTGTAACTGAGTCCTCTGCATAATCTACAGCGTTGTCTTTTATGTGACTAGCACAAATACTTTTAGCGGCTTTTGCAAATAAAGCTCTTTTATATGTGACAATATGTAAGCTAAGTTTAGATACCTTATGCTGGGAGCAGTATATGAAATATTCAACTGAGTAAATGTAATTTTATTTGTTTTTCAGCTGAGTTCTGTAAGTGAAGCTTTTTGAACCATATTTTGGGACTGGAGAATTTTCACTTCAATACAAGCGTTTTGTTCACCCAGACGCTTTCACATGTGCAAAATAAACCATCTCAATATTGGTTGCTTGCAGAGGAGTGTGAAAACTAGAAACTAGCTTGCTATAGAAAGCCAAAATTCACGTCTGTTGCTTCCGTTTTACGCAGTTACCTCTTCCCCAACCCCTATTCTCATGTGGCCCTCAGAAAGTTGCCCAAAAGAGAAGGTGGCCCCGGGGTTGGGTTCCCCACTCCTCCACTAAAGCATTTGAGGATTCCGAGTTCAGAAAAAAGATGCTATTGGGGGGGGTGTGGAGGTGTAATGGGGAGACATGAAAATGACAGAAGTTTGCCGAGATGGCAAAAATGATTGCAGCAATCAGGGGCTGCTCCAATCAAAAATTCTATACAGAATGGGAATGTATAGGGGGATACATGAAGAAATATGGTGTCAAAGCAGAACTCTTAATAGGCACTTGTTAAGCGTGTAAGGACAAAAGAAGTAATTATAATTTAACAGTGTTCATGTTACTCTATTTTATCAAAGCAACTAGAAAAAAAATATGATGAGAAGATCTCACACAGGTGAGGGGAAGCAGTGGGGAGGAGGGGAGGGTTAGGTTGAATTTCGGAAATAAAATAATATATAGATTCTTACAGAATAGTAATATATTGCAACCAGAATAGAAGTTTAAAAGGGGAAGTGAATGTACTTTTAGTATTTTCATTATTGCAATAGTTATTGTTATTTCTTATCGGTAGAAGGCAATGTTAATTTAGGCTTCTTTGTTTTGCTGTCTGTATAATTTTTTTTAAGCCAATAAAAAAAAAGGGGGGGAAAGAAAATGACAGAAGTTTGTAAGGCTGGCCAAAAAAAGGGTGGTTTTTTAGCAGGTAACGAAAAGGGATGGCGAGAGCATCTGTGTGGTGTTTAAATGGAGAGGGTTCGAAAGAATCGGTGGCACCACAGATTCCTACATTGTGTGGAATGGGCCTCCTGATCAGATGGCTATCTAGTCCAGAAAAAATACGTGGACCTTCTGTACTCTCACCAGCTGACCAGGGTGTTGCTAAACTGCCCCGTGAATGATTCATTCCATCTCTTTTTCTGCCATTCAGGAAAGAGAAGAACAGAGTAATTCCACAAGATGGAGCGATGCTGGAGGAAGCAGTGAGTGGACCTCTTTCCTTTCTACATTTTTCCCCCGATAACAAGTACATTCTTTGTGCACATGGATGTAGCCAGGATATTTTTTGGGGGGGGGGCAGCCAGGACCGAGCAACCTCCTATGCGATTGGTTGGTTGGCAGAAACCATTGCTCAGTTGGGTTGCCAGTTGCGTCGCTAGAATGCGCCACCAACGTCAAACCAAGTGACCTCAACGAGCATGAAAACATTCTGATCACTTCTACTTTTAGTTAAGTATTTTTATTTATTTACTTGAATGGGTGTGCGTGCACCATTTGCTGCAATTCCAGGGATGCGGACCGCTGCCCACTCAGTGGTGTAGCTAGTTGCTTGGGTGCCCGGGGCAGTGCGCATGCCCTGCAGCTGGGGGCGGAGCAAGCCACCCATGGGGGTGGGGCCAACTGCCTATGGGGCGGGGGCGAGCCAAGGCAGGGCGCGCTGCGTGGAGTCTCTCTGCGGCCTCCACCTCAGCTGTAGGGCGGCTGAGGCGGTGGGCAGACGCATACCCCGTGCTGCTTGAAAAGGCAGCACGGATCTTGCAGGCAGTCTGCCCAGGAGAGACGTGTGGCTCAGGCATGCTGCAGGCCCCGCAGTGTGGCACCCAGTGGCCTCCGCCTCACCTAGCTATACCTCTGGATTAGGCAGATTCATGGGGGAGAGGGCTGAATAAATTAATTTTATTATTATGGTCACAGACCAGTTCCGGCTCACTTATAATATCAGGAAAATCATAAAACACAACAGGAATACATTGAATTGCAATTGGGTATAACAGAGACAAGGGACGCGGATGGTGCTGTGGTCTAAACCAGTGTTTCCCAAACGTTTTTGGGCAACGGCACACCTGTTTACCGGAAAAAAATCTCGCGGCACACCACCATTAAAGCCCCGCCCCGTGACGTCAGCGCGCAGCGTCACGCCGGGAGGGACGCACAAAAGTGAAAGTTTTTTCCCTTCCCCTTGCCGGGGTGGGAGGAGGCAGCAGAGCGAGGGACTGAGGGACGGCGGCAGCTGAGGCGGCGGCGATAGCGGGCGGAGGAGGAGCCGTCGCCGGGAGTTGCTGCTGCTGCTGTTGCTGCTGCTGCCCGGACATGCCGGCCTCCTCCTCCTCCGCTGTCTCGCAAGCAACCCACCCTCCCCCCGCTTCCCCAGACCGTCTCCCCCCCCACCGCCGTGTCCCCTACCTGTGCTGCAGCCCCACTAGCCCCAGCGTGATCACATGGGGCACGTCCAGCTCCGTGGGCCACAGGCCGGAGGCGATACACCCGAACACGCCGCACTCCTCCCGAATCCCCAGCTCCTCGAATTCCATGGTGCCCGAGCGAACACGTGTTGTTGTCAGCGCAGCTGCTTCTGTTATTGCCGCTGCTGCCTCCTGCCGCCGCCGCCGCCTGGGTTTGAGGGGGGGGGCGGAGGAGGAGGAGAAGGAGGCGGCGGCCTCAGAGGCGCGAGTTCCTCTCCGCGCCCACCCCTTGCGCCCGCCTCATTTACATGCATACATTACGAAGGGGCGAAATTCCCCGCCTCGGGGCTGCTCCGCGTGGTGGAGTTGGTTTCCCCACCCCAGAGGAGCAGAGCAAGAGAGGTCGCCTTCGGGGCGGGGGGGGCTACTTTGTATCTGCCTTTGGACACAAGTTAGCTCCCGCTCGCTCTTTCTCTCTCCCCACAAGTTAACTTTGTTTCCCTCTCTCTTTCTCTCCGCGCGCTTCTGAGAGCGAGTTTTGCCCAGTGGCTCCGAGAGTGTAAACGGCTGGCTGAAGTGCTGAGGAGACCGCGAAGGGCGGAGGGAGCTGGGCTTTGCGCGCGACGGAAGGGGTTATTCCCCCCCCTTATGGAAACGGGGTTTGAGGGAATAAGGGGTAGGGAGGAGACTTCGGTTTTTGCGCGACTGAGCAGGGGAAGGGGGCGTCGGCGGGCGCTCGCCTCAGATTGGAGAAACGCTACCAAAGGGTTGTGAGCGGGGGGGGGTGTTAAAAACATCCCTCCCTCCGTGGGTGGAGGAAAGGGGGCTGGGAGGCAGGATGTGGCCCCGGCGGAGAGTTTTAGGTGGCCCAACCCCTTCCCTTTCCCAATGAGGTGGAAGCATTGGCGGGTTTCTGCAACCGCGCCCCGCCCCCTTCCGCCGTCCGTGCCCCCCCTCCCTTCGTACGCAGCCCCAAAAGTGCCTCCGGACTCCGAACGCGCTTCTTTTTCGGGTCGCTTCCCTCTCGCGCGCTGCTCACTTGGTTTTGTTCTCTCCTAGGCGCCCGACTCGCCCGCCTCCCTCCCACGGCACACCAGCCGGTGTCTCACGGCACACTAGTGTGCCGCGGAACACCGGTTGGGAAACACTGGTCTAAACCACAGAGCCTAGGGCTTGCCGATCAGAAGGTTGGCAGTTCGAATCCCCGCGACAGGGTGAGCTCCCGTTGCTCGGTCCCTGCTCCTGCCAACCTAGCAGTTCGAAAGCACGTCAAAGTGCAAGTAGATAAATAGGTACCACTCTGGTGGGAAGGTAAACGGTATTTCCGTGCACTGCTCTGGTTCGCCAGAAGCGGCTTAGTCATGCTGGCCACATGACCCGGAAGCTGTACACCGGCTCCCTCGGCCAATAAAATGAGATGAGCACCACAACCCCAGAGTCAGCCATGACTGGACTTAATGGTCAGGGGTCCCTTTACCTTTTTTTATGAAGCATTTCTGTATCCTTCTTCTGTGCTGAAGAAGAATTCCACAAAACAGTGGGTATATCCGGAATCACTATTCACTACGTCTGTTTTTGGACCACTTTGGCAGCGTTGGACGTCATAAAACAAAGCTTTACAGCTTGTTTTCATCAGATAAGAATCTGACCCATTGCTTCTTTCAAGACTTGCATAGCCCACAAAGACTTTCAGAGACCTATAAGACTTATGTTTATTTGGTTCTATGTTTTCAAGAGAATCCATCAAGAGCGCACATTTAGTGACTGTCAGAGATTTATAAGATTTCTGTTTATTTGGTTTCTTATATTGTTCTATGTCCCGTATAGATTATATAAAGAGTTTATGTTGATATTGCATTGTTGTACTTGGTCATCATGTTGCCTTGGATATTACTGATAATTGTTTGCAACACAGGGGTTTAATTGTTTGGTTACGCCTCTGGATTAGGCAGATTCATGGAGGAGAGCGCTGTCGAAGGCTACTAGCCATAAAGGCTGTGCTCTGCCTGCAAAGTTGGTGGCTGCAATGCTTCTGGTTTCTGGAAATCACTCAAGGGAAGAGTGTTTCTGCAGTGGCGTAAGAAGGGGCATGCGATGGGTGCGGGAGTTATTTTTTCAGAAACACAGATTTTTGGCATTTTGTCACCCCCTCAGTGATGACACCTGGTGCGACCCATTCACACCGCACCCCCCTTCCTAAGCCACTGTGCCCACCGCCCAGACACAACTTCTTGTTTTGCAGGCGGAGCTCTTGACGGTCGTCCACTCGCACCAGCTGAACAGGACAAATTCAAAGGCAAAAAGTAAGTGTCGCACGTTTCCCAAAGACTCTGGTATTCAGTTCAAATCTCAGGATTCCAAGTCGAAAAGCAATAAAGGCTGGAGGCAAAGGAGCACTTGCCCTTGCTACTGCAAATTGCAAATAATATGCGAGTCGCAAATAATATACAAGCTTGCTGACCCCTGAATTAGAGCATGGGTAGGTAAACTAAGGCCCAGGGGCCAAATGCGGCCCAATCGCCTTCTCAATCCGGCTCACAGACGGTCTGGGAATCAGTGTGTTTTTACATGAGTAGAATGTGTCCTTTTATTTAAAATGCATCTCTGGGTTATTTGTAGGGGCTGCCTGGTGTTTTTACATGAGTAGAATGTGTGCTTTTGTTTAAAATGCATCTCTGGGTTATTTGTGGGGCATTGGAATTTGTTCACTTTTTTTCCAAAATATAGTCCGCCCCCCACAATGTCTGAGGGACAGTGGACCAGCCCCCTGGTGAAAAGGTTTGCTGACCCCTGATCAAGACCCTTTAGATCCTTTTCACATGCACTGCTAGTAAGCCTGCTGTCACCCATCCTATATTTGTGCATCTGGCTCTTTCTATCTAAGTGCAGAACCTTACATTTGTCCCTATTGAAATTCATTTTGTTAACTTGTGCCCAGTTCTCCAATCTGTTAAGGTCATTTTGAATTCTGATTCTGGAGTCTCCTCCTCTTATGCTTCTCTTTTTTCCAAAAAAAAATTATTGGTTTTCCAAATTTATAACAAACATAAAAGAAAAACATTACAATATTGAAAACAAACAAACAAACATCTACCCTAACTGTTAAAATCCCAATTTAATTGTCATTGTTCCTCGAATCCCCCCTAACTGAGTTTCCATAAAACTCATTGTAGCAGTTTTCTAATATCCACTTTCAAATAAAATTGACTTATTCAATTAACATCTTTCTTTCTTTTCATAATATTTTCAATCCATAATGTTATACAATTCAACATATTTAACTCCTAGACCTATTTGGTACTTACAAGTAGTTCTACTTATGTTATATTAGAATATCTAGCTAGATGGTCCTTAAATTTATTCCATTCTTCTTGATGCTCCTCCTCTTTCTGTTTGTGGATTCTTCCAGTCAGGTCGGCCAGCTCCAAAAAGTCCATCATCTTCATCTGCCATTCCTCCACTGTTGGTATTTCTTGTAGTTTCCAGCTTTGGGCTAACAAAATTCTTGCTGCAGTTGTGGCATACAAAAACAATCTAACATCTTTTTGGGGCAATTCCAAACCTATTATTCCAAGTAGAAAGGCCTCTGGCATTTTGATAAATGTATATTTCAACATTTTTTTCAACTCATTATAAATCTTTTCCCAGAAGTCTTTCACCTTGGGGCAGGTCCACCACATATGAAAAAAGGTACCTTCCTTTTCTTTACATTTACAACATAAATTTTCACTCACATGATAAATCTTTGCTAGTTTTACTGGGGTTAAGTACCATCTATACATCATTACGGGCAGGGGTACCTTTACCTTTTTATACATCATTTTCATGATATTTTCTTTTAATACAGTACATGCAGTAAACTTAACCCCTTTCTTCCACAACCTTTCCCAATCTTCCAACATTATATTGTGTCCGACATCTCTTGCCCAATCTATCATCACAGATTTAACTTGTTCATCCTTTGTATGCCACTCCAACAATACCTCCTCTTATGCTTCTTTCATCCTCCTCCTCCTCCTCTAGATCCGAGGTCAACCGGTGGCAACATCCCTTACGCACTGAGCGAAGATGATGGGACGATATCCAGCTGCAGCTTCATCATCCTGCCCCCGAGGCGGCTTCCCCGCACCCCCCCAGAGGACCTGCTGTCTCCAGACCAGACTTACTCAAATCTGAGCTTCCAAAACCGAGTCGAGGATGTGCTGTATGAATCCATGTCGGTGTCGGAGGAAGCGACGGAGGAACCGAGCCCTGTCACGAAGGAGGAGGAGGAGGAGGATGCTATTGGGCAACAGGACCCAGCAACAGGACCCGAGTACGCCTGTGTTCTGAAAGGGAAGAAGATGAAGGACCACCAGCACGCAGGGATGGAGGCGGGGGCCTCTGAAGCATCGCAGCAGGGATCTCTAGCAACGACACTTCACACTGCTCAAGCAGTACAGGTATATATAATCATAATAATTTATTATTTATACCCCGCCCATCTGGCTGAGTTTCCCCAGCCACTCTGGGCGGCTTCCGATCAAGTGTTAAAAACAATACAGCATTAAATATTAAAAACTTCCCTAAACAGGGCTGCCTTCAGATGTCTCTTAAAGATAAGAAAGCAGGAAAATAAATAATAATAATAATAATAATAATAATAATAATAATAATAATAATAATAATAATTTATTTATACCCCACCCATCTGACCGGGTTTCCCCAGTCACTGTGGGTGGCTTCCAACAAAATATTAAAAATACAATAAAACATTGAACATTAAAAATTTCCCTAAACAGGGCTGCCTTCAGATGTCTTCTAAAAGTCAGATAGTTGTTTATCTCCTTGACATCTGGTGGGAGGGCGTTCCACAGGGCAGGCGCCACCACCGAGAAGTTCCTATGCCTGGTTCCCTGTAGCCTCACTTCTCACAATGAGGGAACCGCCAGAAGGCCCTTGGAGCGGGACCTCAGTGTCCGGGTAGAACGATGGGGGTGGAGACACTCCTTCAGGTATACAGGACCGAGGCCGTTTAGGGCTTTAAAGGTCAGCACCAACACTTTGAATTGTGCTCGGAAACGTACTGGGAGCCAATGCAAATCTCTCAGGACCGGTGTTATGTGGTCCCAACGGCCGCTGCCAGTCACCAGTATAAGAGACCTCCCATTTCTGTACAATTGAAGTAACCCGCCCCCCCCATGGAGGTTCATTGCTCATAATTATACTGGGGTTGCACCCACCCCCCTCACACAAGAAAACAAAGACCACCACAGCCAATCACAAACAGACAACCACACCCTTGGCCAACCCCAACCTCTCTCACCACCAAAGGAACACAAGTGAACAGCAGAGAACCTGCACAAGCGACGCTGACACAAAACCCCACATATATTAAGTAAAACAGAAACATCGCCACCCGACCCCACCCCCACCCATCTTCCGCCCCCCTCCACCTCTTTCCCCCTATTCTTCCTAATGTATCAACAAATGACACCGATTTGTAAAAAAAAAAAAAAGTTACATGGGGGGGGAATACGAGAGAGAGACATTGCACATACCTTTGTAAATCAAGAAAATCTTTAATAAAAATACATTAAAAAAATTATACTGGGGTTGGAAGAGGGAAGTGCGAATCTGTCAATTAATGGCTGGATCTACACTGATCTGTAAAATCGCTGTTAAAAGCTATAAAAAAACATAATAAAGCTCTCAATGCAATTTCCCATTCTCAGGATATCACTGCTCTGCAGCGCCCTTCAGTGTCACATCTTTATAACGCATTTTAACGTTAAAAACGACCAGTGTAGATTCGTCCCATGTCTCTTTTTCCAGTTTGCAATTTATTTGTGTGTTTTTAATGAAAGTCCTTGTGAAAATCTGTCAGCATTTTTGTATTATTATTATTATAATTATTATAATTATTATTATTATATATTGAATTCACCAGCGCACTGGGGTATCCCTTGTGCAGAATGGCAAGAGAAAAGCTGTCCTGCCTCAAGGGCTTTCATAGGATCAAAGGTGCACGAAACCGACCCCCAAAGCCATTTTATTAACACTCCCCTAATGTCTGCTTCTCTCGTAGTTTGAAGAAATGTATTCAGTGGTGCGCAAGGAGAGGAAGAAGGAGGAGAAGAAGAAAACCGAGGGCTCTGGCGGGCACAGTGAAGAGAGACCATCCCAAGGGGAGATGAGCCTAGGAAATGCCCTGGTGGCATCTGTCCATCAGGAATCAGATGGCAGGCCAGGGCACCCGCCCTCCTTGTTCCAGCCTCCTGCTATTGAACCCTGCTATGAGTCTGTTGGCTGTGAATCGTGGGTGGGCAACGGCAGGAAGCCAAGCACAGAGCCAGCTTAGGAGGCTGTAGATACTTACTGGAAGAACTCGAGGAGGAAAAGAAAGCCGGACAGGAACGCCCCAGCAGAAAACCTCTACGAAAGCATCGAAAACCTGGCATTTCAGTTTCAGAATCAAAACATGTTAGCCCATTTTGAAATCTGACTCTTTGGTTTGGTTTACCTATTCAAGCGGATGTAAATGAATTAAGTGGACATAGTTCAAACGTTACTAAGTGCCGCTGCATGTCAGCCCTCGGAAACCAAACGCTGACTGCGGTTGCATGTTAACTGGCAGATGCCCCCAAAACGCCAGACACCTCCAGACGACATGTTTTATTGACCATTCCTCTATGTGCTTGCACAAAGCTTGCACAGAGGTTAGACTCTTTGTTGAGCGTTTCTTTTCATTTGTTTGCAGGAAGCTTATATGACAACCGGCATCAATTAATCTGGCAGAATGACAAAGAACAATAAAAAAAGCCTTAAAATATCATGGTGGGGTGAGGAGAGGAAGGTGAGCTGTTAGCCTTAGGAACTGCCAGAGAAGAACATCAGTGCTGGGTGACATTTCGCACTCGGATAATCTTTGCAGATAATCACTTCGCTCCACTAGGAACTTTATGAAGAGCATCAACGTGTCTGGCTGCAACCCTGCATCTGCTTACTTGCGAGTAAGCTCTGAGAGCCTCAATGGAACTTCCCCTTTTGATCTGAGTTGCCATGGCTTGAAAGGGCTGATGGATTGATGAGAGCTGCCGTCCAACATCTAGATAGCTGTCATTTCCCTACTTATTGCTGCAAAGCATTTACAGTTGTTGTTTTTCAGAAGGGGTGGGGGGTGGGAAATGAATAATTTGTTGTTGTTGTTGTTAAGTCGTGTCCGACTCTTCGTGACCCCATGGACCAGAGCACGCCAGGCACTCCTGTCTTCCACTGCCTCCCGCAGTTTGGTCAGACTCATGCTGGTAGCTTCGAGAACACAGTCCCACCATCTCGTCCTCTGTCGTCCCCTTCTCCTTGTGCCCTCCATCTTTCCCAACATCAGGGTCTTTTCCAGGGAGTCTTCTCTTCTCATGAGGTGGCCAAAGTCTTGGAGCCTCAGCTTCAGGATCTGTCCTTCCAGTGAGCACTCAGGGCTGGTTTCCTTCAGAATGGAGAGGTCTGATCTTCTTGCAGTCCATGGGACTCTCAGGAGTCTCCTCCAGCACCAGAATTCAAAAGCATCCATTCTTCGGCGATCAGCCTTCTTTCTGGTCCAGCTCTCACATCCATACATCACCACTGGGAAAACCATAGCTTTAACTATACGGACCTTTGTTGGCAAGGTGATGTCTCTGCTTTTTAAGATGCTGTCTGTCATCGCTGAAATGAATAATAGAGGTTCGTAAAATTTTGAAGAGAGAACAGAGTCCTCATCCTCCCTCCCCTCTTTTAAGCACTGCTAAGTTTTCTTCGGGGGGGGATATCCCCCCTCCTTTCCCCAAGTGGGCAATTCCATAATTGCAATTCCATAATTGCAATGAGGGTACCTGCTCATTGTCTGGGGCGAAGGAAGAAAGAATTTGGGAAAATACATATACAGTCATGCCTCGTGTTGCATTAGGTTCCTGTTGCATCTTTTCAGCTTGCAAACACGGCAAACCTGGAAGCGTATAATTCCGGGTTTCGTCGTGTGTGCATGCGCAGAAGCATTATGCGCGCTTTGCACATGCACAGAAGTGCTCTGTCAAACTCTGCACTTGCGCAGAAGCATGGCTCTAGTTGTGGACTTTTTGTGGTGTGAATGGCACCCCGGAATGGATCGTATCTACAACTAGAGGTGCCACTGCATGTAGTTAAGTGAAGGGAGCCTCTGATTCTATCTTCCCCAGCCTGGTGCCCTCCAGATGAAGAAGAAGAAGAAGAAGAAGAGGAGGAGGAGGAGGAGTTTGGATTTGATATCCCGCCTTTCACTCCCTTTAAGGAGTCTCAAAGCGGCTAACATTCTCCTTTCCCTTCCTCCCCCACAACCTCCTGTGGGGTGAGTGGGGCTGAGAGACTTCAGAGAAGTGTGACTGGCCCAAGGTCACCCAGCAGCTGCATGTGGAGGAGCGGAGACGCGAACCCGGTTCCCCAGATTACGAGACTACCGCTCTTAACCACTACACCACACTGGCTCTATGTTTTGAACTATGACTCCCATCAGCCCCAGCTAGCACAGCTGGGCATCAGCTTGGAGAAGGCTGCTACAGTTTTAATGAGCAGCGAGTGGGGACTGCGCCCCAGTCAAATCTTTGGGAAACAAAGCTTCTGTAGCACTTCAGGCTAGCCACCACCAGAGGGTGCTGTGGCATCGGAATCCTGAGAACCCCTTTTGCTATCCTTGAGCTGTTCCTGTGCGTAATACTAACTCTAATAATAGCAATGATAATGCAATTATTAATTAGCATTTATATAAGTGGCCATTGAACTTCTTTTTAATTGAGTTTTTGTGCAAATACAAACAATTCTACAGAAAACAAAGAAACAAAGCAAAGAACAGAAACAATAAGGGAAAAAAGAGGGAAAAAATCAGGAATAAAAATGAAGTGAAATTAACTATACAATGCTATCCCAAAACATCAGTTCTCAAACAAAGTACTTTCCCTTTTGGAATAGATCTCTTTTGTTATTCTATTTATTTTCGACTTCCATCTATCTCACCATGTTTCATTCTATCTATCTAATACAGTTTCTCCCTATATTTTCAATTCATGTCCTCATCTTGGTATAAGCAAAAGTGAACAGATCCCTATTAGAGAAGAATGGGAATTAAAATTAAGGGAGTACTTGGAACTCGCAAAAATGACCCAATCTATAAGGAATAAACCAAGCGATGTAGTCCAAAAGGAGTGGGAATGCTTTAACACTTATCTAATGAGACAAGGTTCAACAAGAAAAAATTGGTTGTGCCTAGAATAAACCCATAAATAGGAAAAAGTGGCCGTTGCACTTCATGTATGTATATTGTGTTCCTCAATCAGATATCCTGTAAGGAAGCTGGCGCTACCCTGGCACCCTCCAGATGGGAGTTGTAGTTCAGCAACACTCAGAGGGTGCCAGGGTGCTGAAAGGTGTGTTCGTGGAACACTTGGCACTCCATGTATTGCTGAACTACAACTCCCGTATTCCTGGGCATGGGCCATGCCCGCAGGGGCTGATGGGAACTGTAGTTCAGTAACATTTAGGTGGACCCAAGGCTCCCCACACCTGCCGTAAAGTGTATGAGTTTTGCTGGGGGGGGGGAGCAATGCTGAGAATGAGAACTTGCTTGGCATCACCTCCTACTGAATTATAGCTGAATTGTCCAGAATCTCAGTTCTGTGTCCCTTAAACTCTATGCCCATCCTTCCAGCATTTCATTGGCAGATGTGATTTATTGGGGTGGGGTTAGGAGTGCGATGCCTTCAGCCGCAATGTTTGTTTTTAATAAGCCATGTTTAAAATTCTGGGTGTTTGTTAAAATATATACATTCCTTGTTTCTAGCGCTTCTGTGTCAAAAATGCTCAGTCAAAGATGCTCAGTCAATAAATGACTACATAATCGCATGAGCACTGTTCCAGAGTATTTTTCATTCTCATGTATATTATATCTATTCAAAAAAAGATTGGTTAATGAAGAAATTACTCCCAGTCACCAGTCTAGCTGCCGCATTCTGGATTAACTGCAGTTTCTGGGTCACCTTCAAAGGTAGCCCCACATAAAGTGCATTGCAGTAGTCCAAGCAAGAGATAACTAGAGCATGCACCACTCTGGCAAGACAGTCCACGGGCAGGTAGGGTCTCATCCCGCATACCAGATAGAGCTGGTAGACAGCCGTCCTGGACACAAAATTGACCTGCGCCTCCATGGACAGCTGTGAGTCCAAAATGACTCCCAGGCTGCGCACCTGGTCCTTCAGGGGCACAGTCACCCCATTCAGGACCAGGGAGTCCTCCACACCTGCCTGCCCCCTGTCCCCCCAAGAACAGTACTTCTGTCTTGTCAGGATTCAACCTCAATCCATTAGCCGCCATCCATCCTCCAACCCCTCCAGACACTCACACAGGACCTTCACTGCCTTCACTGGTTCTGATTTAAAAGAGAGGTAGAGCTGGGTGTCATCTGCATACTGATGGACACCCAGCCCAAACCCCCTTCACAGCTTGCTCTCCACCGGGTAAAGTCTGGCACCGTAATTCTTTTAACGACTTTCAGAGACTTCAGTTTGTTAGTTTTGGTGTTTTGAATTATTCCATAAAGTTTTTCACATTGTAATTGTTTCTGGCCATCATGTTGCTTTTGATATTGCTGACTCATATTTTGCAACACGGGTGTGATTACTCAATAAATGCAGTCCTACAAGGGCCTGTTGCTCAGGTGGCTGCACTTAACCTGCAGGTCCGTGAACAGTTGCATCGATTATCTCGCATCGAACTCTTTGGTTATGATGGCGCACCTGTGAAGTTGCAAAACAGTAAATAAAGAAAGAAGGTAGGAAAAACGGTGTTGCTTTTGTTTCCACTCACTCTGTTCCAAAGGGAATGGAGAATGTCATTCTATTCCAATATTCTAACATCCTGGTGGCTGCCACCTTTTTAGAAAGCAGGGCTCCTGTGTCTTTAACAACTACCTGATAGACAGCAATTCATCACATGCAACTGTCCCAGAACCAGGAAAAAACTTCACTGAATGAGTTTCTGCTGGTTGTGCAACTGTTAAGGGCATTGTGACTGTTAAGTTGTGGGTGAACCATATCAGACGACACAGCAATTCTTCAAACAGCTCTTGTTTATTCACAGGCCCAGAACAGAACTGAGCTGAAGGGTTCATCCAACCTGCTTATATAGAGCTCAGCTACAAAGCAACAGTAACAACTTTCTGTAACTATCCAATCACTGAACGTCACTTTCAATTCCTTATTTGCATATATGGCCTGAGTGAAAACTATCTACAGTATCCCCCTGCTGTCCCAGGGTGAGAACTTCAGTACATAACAGTGACACTGCCAGGGAAAGAGTTGGCAACCATGGCCTGCCAGTAGAAATAGCAATATTTCTGGTCTTCATATTTTCACATAGGTATATGGGGGAAAATAACAGTCCTGGTACAATAGACTGGATTCACACCTTTTCTTCTAATGCTGATTGCAGCCCTAGAGCGATGACACCTTTGTAGCTGAAACAGGGCCACTGGTCAACAAGAGGGGAAGTCCCAGCACAACTAGGGGGAAACCAAGAGATATGCAGAAATAATTTAAAATCAAAATGAAAGGCTTTGCTCCCTTGCAAAACAGCCTGTTAAGAAATGAGCAGGCTCAACAGCTGCAGGATATTTTGGGGATGAAAACCGGTGGGATGGAGATGGATGGATGGACGGAAGGGTCCTGGAGGGCTTCAAAATGCCACCAAGCCTGTCTTTAGACAGAGTGAGGAAACCGCACTGGGTGGCAGATGCTGGAAGTGTGGCGACAGCAATCGTGGTGGCAGCTGCCTTGTCCAGTCCCTGAGTTTCGCCAGCCGCTGTGGGAAGGCAGCAAATAATGCATGTGCCATCTGCGCTGGCCTGCCTTGCCCCTGGGCGTGTTGGAGGATGCAGCCAGGTCACCTGTGATTGACAAGCGGAGGGGAGGAGGGTCTGCAGGAGAGGTGAGCCAAGAAGCAGAGGATGGAGGATGTAGAAAGGTTAGAGAGAAACCTCTCGTTGCCTGGAGAGGTCATTTCCTGGTTCCCATGGAAAAGCTATTTTGAAACATCCACAGGGGCAGCGGTTCTCAACCTGTGGGTCCCCAGATGTTGTTGGACTACAACTCCCATGATCCCTAAGCTCTGGCCTTGCTAGCTAGGGGTGATGGGAGTTGTAGTTCAACA